CTAATTATTATTCATTATGGGTGTACGTATCAATAGATAAACAAGTGTATTTTTGACTAAAGTCGACGTCGTCGTGTTCTGGGGTTAATAAATCATCACTTATACCAGTCCTTGTGTTCTTAATTTCGCGTCGTGGAAGTTGCAGAGGTCCATCATTTCGAGCATAAGTGATAAGAGTTTCCGACACAACAATCAGCTACGACCAGATATAACAAGTAGCGTTCAATCGACAAGATATATCAGTTTGAAAAGTGACCATTTCACTACAACCATATATCGATGCAAGATTAATTATATATTACGTTTTTAGCTTTGTTCTGTTAACAGTCTTCAAGTAAATGATAAAGTGACAATAAAGTCTAATCATCAAGGTTTACATTAAATAATTCCGTGCAACTTTAAAAAATAATTGGTTGGTTTGGTTTATATTAATTGTTTCTAAGTAGATTGTGTTGTTGAGACTAAATTTAAATCGTTTGTTTAAAGTGCTTTTTTTAAAATTATTGATTTACCAATGCTTTCAATTTCAATATATCTAATGATTAGTTTGTTTTATGACTGCCATGGTTTCAGTAAAATTTAAGTATCCCCAAATTTTATAATTATTGTTTAAATTATTTGACTGTTTATTTATTTATTCTAATGTTATTATTAGCTTAATTCAATATTATATTTATGGTACAATATAGAATTCTCAGAACAAAATATCTCAACAAGTTTCTTACATCATGGTCGATTCTGATGATAAATATTGAGTGATTGCCAGTTAGATGTTAACAGTCCAGTAAATCGACATCGAAATAATGTACATTCATTTCGCTGGATATTGCCAGCAACCACGATATCTCTGATTAGGCTTTCTGTAGCTTGTACAACGAAAGATTGTATACTTTTCAGAAACAAACCTGAATAGGTTATGCGATTAACAGACATAATGATGTATTAAAACAACTAAAAATAGACAAAGTGTTGAAATATCTAGAAGACAGGAACAGGTAGCCCAGATGTTCAAGCAGGGCGCCAAAGCTACTATGGTATTGATTTTAGCTAATTGGATGATAGAAAATCAATCAAGTTTAGAATGGGATATTCATAAATTGGTGGAATTGTAATAACAATAATAATACTAATAATAATAATGGTATCTACTAGTATATATATTTGATATTCATATGATTTAACGTATTTTGTTTTATTTATACAGTTAGTGGTCAAAAAGAAAAATTTCCATCATCCACATTATTTAAACTCTTAGCTATAGATAGCTATTTAAAAATAATTAATACTGCCGTGATCCTGTTGAATATTAGTAAATTTATTTTTCCTTTTTTTAAAAAAGTAATTGGACATGTTCAGCTTGTTTGTTTATTTGTATCAGAAACGTTTGAAAGAGTATACTTTTTATAATTCCTTTAACTAAAAAGTTAATTTTAATAGTTGAGATCATGAGTCAATTGAAGTTAGATCACCGTGGAAAACCTGAAAGAATTGGACGGTTGTTTCGTCCTAGTATGGGACTCCTCAGCAGTACGTTCACGATCACGCCTCGCGAGATTCGAACCTGGACCTATCCGACTCGCGCGTCAGCGCTTTATCATTAGACCACTGAGCCTGCATCCAGCGGTGTTAATGTCTAACTTCAATCAATCCACGGAACTGAGCGATACATCCATCATTGTCCTCAGTGAGTTATTATCTCATAACAGACCCGGTTGAACTCCACTGGTCATGTATTCAATTTGGACTATTGTATTATTATGATTCAAGACAAGTATTATTCAAGGATAGGGGAAGTGAGTACATCTCATTCAGTTGAGATATTATAAGACACAGTTACCACTATAAAATAATCAGTAATATTTGTTAAATCATGATTATATCTACTGAAATTTTTTTATTTAACTAATGTTGTGGTGTATGCTACTTATGTCGACAGATATAAATAGTATGTAACACCTATCGGAACTCGAATGCCTGTCAAAAGGAGGCTGGAAAGATTGAAGTGAAGAAAACAGAGACGGAAACACAAGGGAATTGAGAATTGAAAAATCATGAAGGATGTAGAGAACAATTGATGGAAGATATACAAATGAAGTATTTAATGTATGGTTTTTAGATTTTTCGAAAGAACTTTATAATATTGTGATAAACAATAAATTGTTATTTTCCACTTGAGTTCTTGTTCACTACAATATTATTACCATAAACAAATGTGTAGTCTTTCTTCCTCTCAGAAAAGTAAACAAAAAGAACAATACATAAAATACTTAGCGGTTCTTTTAAATCTAACACTTGTTATTGTTAACATAAAAGAATAATCCATCAAGCCGTAGATTACATTTTGATATAAAGATGAGTTTATCATTTACTTTATTAAAACACATCACATAAACAATATTTTTAGTTAATCAGTTAGTTTCTTTATAATTTAAAAGCTGACATTGAAATTTAGCTTTGAAATTAGTGGTTCGATTAAAGTTTATGCATAAAACAGTGTTAATTGTATACATAAGTGGATTTTAATGCAATGATATTTGTTACCAAAACTATTAGTATAAGAATAGCAGTTCAAATTCGAATTTAGCTTTTTAATAAAACTGTTTTTGATAATAAATTTTGCCAAATACACATTATGTAGTGAATCATTTAGTTTATAATTATAAAAATAGTAATATTCTTTGAGAAGTTTTTATACTACATTACAAAATAACTATTGTTAACTAATGTCGAAGATGAGTTTTTGAGATTCAGTAACTGGGTAGTATCATGCACTAAATGAGATCCAAATTCGTATTGGGCCATATATAAACTGTTGGTATTCACTAGCTATTCATTTTTATATAGACTGATCATTAAATATAGATTATAGTGATTACTTACCTGTTTGACACTTGTATACACTATACATCACTTCGTTAGACTATATTGTCATGTTAATCCTTTGTTAATAATATGAAAAATCAGGAACTTGAAATGTTTTGAAGTATAAGTCATTGTTATAAATGAACGGGCTCGATTTGGTACAAAGCCTTATAAAGGAAACGACCATCTACGTATGCTGAAATGACCAATATGTAATAATTCAATGAATTGGATTGTAGGTGAGATAAAATGGCGAATATTCTAATCTAAATAAGTACAAGCAATGTAAATTGAAATAAATAGTACTATAATTATTGATGATCCCAAATGTTCGATTGGAAACTATGCAATTCATGAATTCAGCATAAGACAGTAGAAAGTTAATTGTTTGGTTATAGGTCCATTGAATTACGTAAGTTGAAGTCGAATTGTTTACACTTTTAATTACATCTATCAGCAAAAATGAATTCATAGAATATCAGTTTATATTACTTTACTTCACAAGAGCAGTTGAATCAATAAATATAAAACTAGCAACTAAATTATGCAATTTAGTTTTAGTGTCTTTGTTACCACTACATTCACTCTGTTGAGTTAAAGGTGTATCACCATTAAATCTTGTGAGGGTAAATAGTAACATCTTGTCAATAGCTTCTTCATATATTTTTTCTAGTCAGGTGATGAGGTGTTTGATTAATAAATTTCGAACACAATACAAATTATTCAGTATCTTGCTGACTACTTCTATGGAGCAAAAAATCACCAATCTTCATTAGATCACTTTGCATTAGAGGGGTAAAAAAAACTAAGAAAACGTCTATGTACCCCCGGTCAAGTGCGCTTCTTATTCATATTTATTCTTATGAACTCCCATATCTACAGAAAAGCCTTATAGTTAAATCACTTAGTTAAGAGCAAAAAACTTAATCTAATATCTAAACCTGAGGTGCAAATCTCCATCACTTCAATTAGAATGATTGACAAGAAATAGAGTGAAACAAATGGATCAAAAGCAATCAGCAGTGCCATCGCATGACATTTTGACACAAAAAATGAAGTCAGTACACTGAAGTCCTTCAAGGTGATTAACAAACAACCAAACTCCAACCTTTTGAAATTTTCCGAAGCGAGATCAATCAAATGTCTAAAACCAGATGTATGTACCTAAAAAGAGGCAGCAATAAATCTTCCTTTGCCCTGGTAACATTAAACCCTTTTTTATTTATTACGTCATTCATTATTTCAACTGTTTCTGAAGTCTAAATAACATCATTGTCATTTTTCATCATTTCATAACTGACCGGTTTCAATTCATATCTTTCTTTATAACTATTAATCTATTGACAGTTGCTTGATTACTTAATCATCTAATGTTTGCTAACTTCATGAGTTCTAATCACTATTTCAATGTTCTAGAACTTTCCCTCCCAAACTTTATTTGCCCAAAACAAAATTTTTATGATCTTATTAAATCTATTGAAATCTTCGCTATATCATGATACATCTTTAATCACCCTCTTATGTATAAGTATGTCAATATGTGTAATAATGTTGATTTTAAATGTTATACGTTGTAAGCAACTGATGAGAATCTAACGAAATAAAATGGATTCATATTATTCTGCACCAAACTTTGTTCTTGCTCTATTGAAGATAATAAACGGAACTATATGGATGAAATATTTAATTTCAATTTAACAATTTTAAAAAAAGATCACTGTTTTTGTTTAATGAAGATAATGTTACATGTTCAAGTATAACCTCAATAATTTTTCATGACTTTTAAATATATTACTAACATATAAATTTATAAAGTATGGAAAAACATCATGATGAACAGTTTCAATAACTTTCTTAATTATTCTTATTTTAAATTATTAACGCGTGTTTTTTTTGTTTAAAAAATCACGCTACAGACTTTGATCATTATTAAAATAAATTGTTGACTGAATTTTAAATGAAATGAATTAACTATTAGATCAATTTTAATAAGAGAATTTTGTTAGTTGAAAATTGGATCATACTATTTTATCATTTGAATGAGTAAAGGTTATTTATTGATACCGTAATTTCATTATAGAACATATATAAATACGTTAGTGGCATTTTAACTCCACTCTTTTAAATACAATCAATTAATGTTGGTTACTATCTTATTCATATTTTGTATTTTCTACACTTCTGATGCATTTAAAGTGACAAAAGTTGAGGTAAATTTTGGAATTTTCTTAGAATTAATAATAATAATAATAATAATAACAACAAAATTATGTATAATATTCATTCTTCTTTTAATGATTAATTAATTAATTAATTTTAGTTTTGATAATTTATAAGGTAAATTGATCATTTCTGAGTATGTTCCAATCATAAATATAGTTCTGGGGGGGTGTGGGAGTGGGAAACGTAAATATTTCAAATTTTCTTTTGCGAATAATTTGTAACGTAAATTACTGTGAAATAGGTTAATATTTAATTTTAGGTTACAAGTAAAAACATTTCGCAAATGTCTTCCATGTCTTTCTGGGATCACTGCACGGTTGAAGTTAGACATTGACACCATTGGATGTTGACTCGGTGGTTCAGAGGTTAAGCGATCGCGCGCGAGACTGAAAGGTTGTGGGTTTGAATCTCACGAGGTGGGATCGCTGGTGTTCACTGCTGAGAAGTCCCATACTAGGACAAAACGACCGTCCAATTCTTTCAGGTTTTCCATGTTGATCTAGCTTTAATTGACTCATGAATTCAACTATTAAGAAAGATTAGTTCACAGTGTGATTTGTAATTACTGAATTGTGTATGGTTAATACTTATAGATGAATAAATGGTTCACAGGAATTCAGAAACGGGAAAGATATTAATTTAACTTTTCTAAATGTTCATAGATATCTATAATGAAAGAGTAGTATATTAAGCTAAAAAAAAGTAGTCTAGGTATAAAATATATTGGCAGTATTGAGAAATAGAATAATTCTAAAGATTGTATTGTTACATGAAACATTTAAATAAATCTCATTACTTCTCACAATACAGTTTGCTAATTTAAAGGTTACATACTATGGTCACTCCGCTAATGATATTTGTGATGTATTTTAACATTTTAATTTGAAAGTGTGTAGCCTATTTTATATTTAGGAGACAGTAAATGTTTTCTACGTTTCCGATCTTTGTTCAAGGAAAATAACTATGGGATGAGAAACATCACTTGGGGTAAGTATATATTTTATAATTTCGTGATCATAGTGATATGTTGGGGCACTTTATGTTTATTTATTGTTGATATCATTATTACTTATAAATGACTTGTTATGTTTTGACTTAGCGCCTGAATAATATTGAAATTTAACATTATTAGCCATTAAGAGTTTAGCAGTTCTGTGTTGAACATTAATCTTTATATGGTTAGCTTTACCTCTTTTGAGGGAGATGAATTGGTATTGTGAAATGTCAGGGAAGATTTGAAACTTTAGAGAGTGATTTTAATGGAAAAATGTCACTAAAATTTCTTTCTTCTATCTATAAATTATAAACATGTAAAGTGATTAGTAATAAGCGTGTTCATTAGGACTTCGAAACAAACACCAACTAATACTCAAACTCGTTTTTATTTTAAATGATTTTATCTTCAAACCATGCTAAAATAATGAGATAAACGATTTCTTTGATAAAATCATCATACTGGTCACTAATTTTACATTAGTTGATGGATTGCCATGGTTATACTTATGTTTACTTGATAAATTGTATTCAAATGGTCACCGAAAGGTTTTATTCAATTTATCTTTCATTTAATTCGTAAATAAATATGATTCCCTTAGACACTGGTTTACTGGATTAAAGTGTTGTGTTTGGCTTCCTTAGTTTTAACATTTTTTATTACAAATAAATATGTATTTTGAATATGGTGTTTTCATTACATTCAAGTGTACACATCGATTTCTAATATAGCATACTTAACAAAGGAAACATTTACAGCAGGTTATCTTATTTACAGCTGCACAATAATATAAATTATGTATTATTTACTGTTTATTGCATTATAAATTTACGGACAGAATGCTTGTTTAATGGTAGAAATCTTGATGACGTTTCATTAAATTGTGATAAACCATGGTAAGAGATGCATTGGATTCGACGGAGATGTGAACTCAATTAAAAGCTAATTTCTCAGGTTAACAAGCAGTACTATAAGGTGAGTCACAATGGAAAGGGCTGGTAGTGATTTCATATACACGACTAGCACACATTGTGTTAAAGAGCGATTTTCTTATAAGCACCTAAATTTAATCATATTACTAAATTTTGTTACAATGCAGAATGTGAATTTTGTCTATCAGGATGTAGTTTAGCACGCTATTTTGTGAATGATTTCTATTGGCGTGATATATACATGTTGGGTGCTGAAAAACTGTGTGCATTCATCTCTTCTGAAAAAATAGAAAAAATAGTAAGTTATACTCACTATAAATATTTATGATGACTTTTATCATTATGAATGTAATAAGACGATAATTCATTTTAAGTGTACTTGATACTAGACATAATGATCGCAGGTCCGATCATTAATGGGCTCATAGTGAGCTAGGGAGTCCCAAACTAAACTAAGTAGCTATTCGCTGAATACTACTTCACCATTTATATTTACTTATAAACACCCTAGACATATAAATGAGCTATTCAGTTTAAATTTTGATATTTAATATTTAAAACGTTTATAAAAATATGTTTAAACATAACTTGGGAAGGGTGACAAAGTTCAATAGTCCATCAGGACTTTCATGAATAATGCTTTTGTGAATGAGGATAAATTAAGTCATTTAGCATTTTGGCTAGAAGTCTAGCTTATTTAAAATATCAAAATGTTTCTACAAATTAATTCATCCAGTTTGAAGTTGTTCAGTAAAAATTTTAATATTTTTTCCTTTTTTAAATACTTTCTGTTTAGTGTGACAAATACACCTCGAAGTACTTACCAGAGATTTTGGATGGAATAGGATCAGTATTCGTACCTGAAGAAATTTGTTTGGTAATGATATTTCTTGAGACTTTTATACGTTTATTATCTTAGCCCTAAAAACATTCAAACTGAATATTTATGCTAATAAATTGCCCAATGGTTCATATCACGCAACTATAAGGTATTATTCATAAACATAAAAAAAATCTATGTGTTACTTGTATGCTATCAGTTATATTTCCAAAGTATCACTCGTATAATGTGGAACATCCACACAAGTAATTCTCTATTAATACGTGGTTTATTGATTAAAGACAGTACACTGGTTTATGAGGCTGTAGATTTTGATTAATTAGGATGAGTGTTGATTGTGCTACGGATGCCTAGACGCCTATCTACACTAGATATTGTGACAGTATACAGTAATAGTATAGATAGTAACAGTAATAAACACTAAATAACTTGATCTCAATCTATTCACGATCTAAAAGAAATAACGAACGTCTGTATGATAAATTTAATCTTATTTTGAAGTTTCAGTTGGCTCATATTAAAAATCAAATTTTCATGTAACCTTATTCGAGTAGAAACATGTTTCGAAATGTAGAAAGCTATGACTTGTTAGCACTTTGAAAGAATATGTAGTTAATATTTTAGTTGGGATGTGACCTTGCTTTTTTCTTTCTTCTCTACTCTGTGAACGATATTTGATTCAGTGTAAATATCGATTACACTGTCAACACTGTATACTTGGGAGATAAAAAATGGAAACATGTTGAAATCGTCTTGAATATATTCTACTCTATTTAAATGGGGGTATCTTTATTGAATATGCTTTGTCCCCAAATCCAATCTTTATTTCGTGTATATAATTAGGGTAATTTTCGTTCAGTCAACTTCAAGTATTTCGTTATACTAAATTATTCATAATGAAGTGTCATCATCAACCTCCAGTGTATTTCAGCTGTAATTAGTTATTTGATTCGTAGTCCATTTTATTGTTTGATTATTTAATTATGATTTTATATTTAGTGATAATTATTTAGTTGATAAAAATTTGTAATTAACAATCATTCAATTGGTATGCAACCGAATTAAATTGATCTCGTCCAGTAGATCTTCTTGACAAGATTGGTCTTTTGAAGAAGTAGTGATTGGAAAAGATAATGGAGCTGTTACCCATGGTACCATAATTATCGTTGAAATTGTAGCAGGATATCTTGCATTACACATTTATTCAATTTTGGTGGAGTTCTGTTTTCTGAGCTGGATAATTTGGTCGTGTTGCTTTCGTCGTTATTCCGAACGACATCGTCAGCACAAACGTCTGCTTGAAGTTTTTTCTATACTCCATCAAAATCATCCACCTGAGCTACAAATCTCCACCATATCACATTTAACCACAAAAAATCAATTAACATATTTGTTAATCTTTTGTTTCCAAAATTCATATCTAATTGCAACCAGTATAGACATGAGTTAAATATCACATAATTTTATAAGATAAAGTTTTGTTAAACAATCTACTGAGCTAATATTAACAATTATGTTTTACAAGTACCTGAATTCATTTAAGGTTCTCTGATATGATCATTCTCAATAATTTCTTAAATGACATAAGGTTAAATTTGTTGCGGTACAGCTAATGATTTGCTTTGTAAATAGGTAAAACAGATAAATGGTCATTAACAGAATGAAGATTTGGGAAGATTGTAGTAATTTTGATAGTTGAATACATGATTCATTGTAATCTAGACCATCATCGAAATCCTGAAAACACTGGATGACCGTTTTGTCCTAGTATTAAACTCATGAATTTAATTTTTAAAAAAATAAGTGATTTTTAGTACTTGAATTTCGTTGAGAACGTGTAATATAAAAGTCGAACTCAGATGACTCATAATGAAGAAGTCCAGAATTGTACGTAAATGTGTATATAATACAGTATGAAAATAAATATCAGTGAAACATTTAAATAATAAAATTAGTCAAATCATTATTATAAGTACACAAACTCGAGTTGATTTGTGATGTATGCTACTTATGTCTACAGATACAAGTAGTATGTAACACCTATCGGAACTCGAATGCCTGTCAAAAGGAGGCTGGAAAGATTGAAGTGAAGAAAACAGAGACGGAAACACAAGGGAATTGAGAATTGAAAGAATCATGAAGGATGTAGAGAAGAATTGATGGAAGATATACAAATGAAGTATTTAATGTATGGTTTTTAGATTTTTCGAAAGAACTTTATAATATTGTGATAAACAATAAATTGTTATTTTCCACTTGAGTTCTCGTTCACTTTAGATACAACAGAACTAATGATTATAAAAATTCATCGATGAAAATCTAGGTAAACTGTCAGGTTATACCGTTATCTTGGTAAAATCAAATAATTTATTTCCAAACCCTTTTATTGATAACTTATCATTTCACAAATCTGTTGATTGACTTTTAATTTAAAGAAATGAAGATTTTCTTAAAAATTGATCATGACGCTATTATAGATTGATTAGTTGGAAAAAATATATATTATCTAATAAAATGAAAACGTTTTATCACAGGTAATGAATAATTCATGTAATTTACAATTTACATTTGTAGGACTTCAATATATGCAATTCTACTGAGATTAAGATGTTTACTATCCAAAAAAGTAAGCGTTTATATTAATTTTTTAAATAAATCGATAGTTTTCGCACAAGATATTAATGAACATTCGATATTCGATTATCGTATATATCGAGGATAGTTTTGGCCAAAGTAATTCAGTGTATGCGCCTGTGATTGTATTATTGAATAATTTCAAGATTTTCAGTATTAAAGAGCAATTCGATTTTACTGATGAGTGTCAGTCAACAGGACTGTAACGTTTCATAATACATCTATAAAAGTAATTTGTTTGTAAACCGTAATAATTTCCGTGTATGCAACATAAAACATGAAATCCTACAGAACAGTTTTATACACATAGTTCCCTTTATCATTTTGAAAAGAGCAAGAACAAAGATTCTAGCAGAATAGCATGAATTCATTTTTATTTCGTTGGTTCTCGTCAGCTGCTTACAACCTGTGATATTTAAAAATCATAATTACATAATGGGTTTAAATTGCTTACTGAATATTGTAAATATGTACCTAATGTGAAAGAATATTCTACACAACTAATTGTGACAACAGTTCAAAAGGGGGTTAGAAACAATCGATTACATAATGAATAAACGTTGATAGGAATAGAGTGAGTAGAGTTCAGTTGAAAGATTATTAATTTGAAAGATAGTTGAAAAAATAAAATCAACGATGTAATAAATACAAAGGGAAAAGAAAAAAATTTAAGGTGCAGAGAAAAAATATTTGTCACCAAGGCAAGGAAAGATTAACAACCGTCTCCTTTTGAACACATAGGTCAGGTTTTTGACGCCTGGTGGCAACGGCTTCAGCAAACTTCAGAAGACTGGAGTTTGGCTGCTTACTAATCACCCTAAAGGATTGTAAGGTATCTACCTGATGTCCTGTATCAAGGAGATGTTTGGTGATTGAACTATTCAGAGTCTTTCTTTCTCTTGTTCTAAGACTTTTTGGAACATGTTCAAAAAATCTAAGATATGCTCTCCTTTCAGTTCGGCCGATGTATCTGCTTTAGCAGGTACACGTAAATTTATAAATACAGTTGGCGGTAACATGAAAGGGGTGCTTGTCGACCTTTGATTGGGTTATTGAACATGTTGTTTTATAGAAAATTAAAAGTTTAGCAGCCGGATAAGTTCTGGCTAGCGCAGTGTTCAGTCTTCTGTTGATTAATCGTGCGACGTTATCACCTTTAAAGTTAAGATTTATATATACTGGCTTTTTATTGACCGTAGTTATTTCCGTCTTGTTTTCTTTGGGCTTTTCAGGAATCGAGAACCAATCAGCTATAATGTTAAAAATGTTGGTGCCCTTTCGTTTGCATTCATCAAAATGATGTGTTTGAGTTTATTAAATAACTAGACATTATGATTAGTGAAGTTAGAAATCTATACTCATGGTGCTGAATATTTATTTTACTGAAAAGATTTACGTTTTTTATTATCAACGTTAATGATTGTTTCATCGTGATCTAACTTAGTAAACTGAAAACTATTCACAAAAAACCAAGGGCTGGTTGTTACACAAAACAAATCAATTAGATATTAAAATGTCACTGAACAATTTATTTTTCACTATATAATTAAGCTGGTGTTTATATTTACTATGAGGTGAAATACGAATCCTTGTAGAGGATCTTTTTACAATTAATTAAGTGACTCAGTGATAAGCGTTGAAATGATGGAAAGTTTATTGAATTACGATACTTTGAAAAAAAGGTTCACCGAAACTGCCACCTCAAACAGTCTTCCAACCGATTATATTGGTCAGTTTCAATGATAAGACATCAAGTTTGTAGTTTAACGGAAGGATTTTAATGAGTTATTGTGCTTTCTGAGATGGGTTGTCTATTCATCGATTTGGGTAATATAATCATCAGGAATTCCAATAGTTTATTTCATTTGTAGGGTTTGTTGATAGTACTGTCTAGAAAGATAATGAAAGTTTCACACTTAAGTAACCTATCACAGTGAGCACAAGACTTATAATGGACATCGACATATTTTGTATAGTACTATCGAAAATGATTGATATTTATATTCCAGAAACCAAAGAAATAATAAACTTTAATTTTGTTTTTCATTAATGATTAGTTTTTAAATAAGATAGAATATACTGAACAAAATGTCTCGTTTTACTGATTGTCGTTAGTAGAATGTTTCATTTCTACTAAACTCAGTGCAAATAACTAGTATTTCTGTTAAATGCAATCAACTCTGTTATTGATACTTTAATGGAATATCAAAGTTCAACGTTTTTCCTTGAAGGAAAAGCTAAAAGTATTTATATATACTGTTTTAGGTGAGGCCATAAGATCTCCGGCTCTAGATTATGTTTAAATTTCATTATCACTACCTCATCAGTTTCTGTTTTCTCAGAGAATACTCATATTTGGCTAAGGTAATCATCATGTCAACCTATTTAAAGAGTTTAGGATAATGTAATAGTTTTCACTATCCCAAAAGAACTAAGATTTTTTTCGTTTCTAATGTTTTTTTTTCATTACAGATAACAAAATCTGAACATTTTTGCTCTACCTAATACTCTTTAAGTGTTATTAAATTTTAGAATGTACACAACATAAATTATGCTATGATATATTTGGTCTTTATGTTTTGAGTCATCATTTTAATACTATCTAGATGTATTAGTTACTATAATTATCGACGATTGTGACCTTTTGTTTGTTAACAAACTACTTTGACTAGAATAAACTATCTTTCCTTGTGATTATCCAGTTTTTAACTTCAAGCTGATAAATGAATGTTTGAAATTTCGAACACTAGAATAATATAAAAATCTTTGATGATCAAATATGTCAGTATAGATAGAATGTTTATCATTCAATATGAATTAATCTCCAACTAAGAAAATAACTTTTTTAAAAAAAATTCATTCCAAATTTAAATATATTCTTAGAATTACCTTTTCGACTTCATACATTTTGATCACAAGTGAAAAAACGTTATTAATTGATAATATGAACGTTAGATTATTGAGTAAGACATTGAACAAAAGCGAATTGCATATTAAACTCTAAATAACTTGAATAAATAGGGATCTTTTTAAGAGTCTAGTAATGAATTATTATGTTTATAAAGTTTTCAATCTAAGCTTGTAACTAACTATAAGTTAGTGTTGATAGAACGTTCACCAGTTTGTCTTCAGTGTGTCAATTTAAGGCCATGGGTTTGAATACATTACTCAATCATTAAGATTCTAGTTAATTGTCAGTCCTCGTGAGGTTTACGACTAGGTCAATAAATCCGCCTATATATTATTGTGATTTGATTTACATGTAGGGATGTTATTTTCAAAAGAGACATGGTTCTTGTTTTATTCTAATCCTTTAAACGTTGTGATGTGATTATCGGAAATACATTGTATATGAAAACAGTTTTTGGTTAAATAGTGCAACAAAAATTGGAATGCTGTGTTGGAAGCAAACTGTAATTTTGTTTGGTAAATACATAAGTCAAAGAATAATATATTGTGACTTTGGGAGCACTGGAAGTCTCTTGATAAAAAGAATAGGCTATTGAGCTGTAAAAAGAAAAACTGTTTAATGCAACATTGGATTCTAACTATGAATATTTAAATAGAAGTATGAGTATTCATTACAGTTTTTAAAGTGTTAACAATAAGAGGCAACGCTTGTAAGTCACAAAGAGATAAAAAACCAACTGGAATAGTTCTGTAGTCGTGAGCATTTAAAATCGTAATCTGTTTGTAAATAATTCTGAAATAAACAATAATTACTCAGGCTTTCATCGATGATGCTGACCAGGTATGTTAGGGATTCCACGTTTTCCAGAGCTTCTTCATGTGTTGTATTTGAGGGTCATACTTTTTCTTTCGTATATGTTGAGGCCTACTGATGCGAAGGATGCTGCTACACTAACTGTATTCACTTGCATTTGTTCGTGTGTATGGGATAGAAGGGCTAGGTCATCTGCGAAGTCCAAATCCTCTGATTGACTCCGAGCTGTCCATTTCGTTCCCTGTTTTCTCTCAGATGTCGAGATCTTCGTAGTCCGGTCGGCCACCAGAAGAAAAAGGAAGGGGGAGAGTAAGCAGTCTGGTCTCATACCGGTTCTCACTTTGAATGCATTTGTAAGCCGTCCTCTATGCAAGATTTTGCAGTGTAACGCACCGTATGAATTCCGGATGATGTTGAAGAGTTGCTCAAGTACACCATAGTGTCGCAGAAGTTTTCATAAAGTTCTCCAACCCACACTGTCAAACACCTTGTCATAATCAGTGAAGTCGATGTATAGTGACGGTGATCCGTAGTGTCACGATTTGGTTTGTGCACGACTGATCATTACAGAATCCAGCCTGTTGATCTCGAAGTTGGGCATCTATTGAGTCTTTCATCTGGTTCAACAACGGCGTATTGAAAACGTTTCCTGGTACTGGTAGTAATGTGATACTTCTGTAGTTCTCACGTTTGATGAGATCTCCTTTCTTTGTTATCTTGATGATGTCTTTCTTTACAGTCTGTCTGTAGCACTTGTTCTTTCTCTCAAATCTTCCTGAATAGAACGTGAAGCATGTTTGCAGTTACTTCAGTGCTTCAACTGGTATATTGTCAGGTCCTGCTGCTTTTCCGCTCTTTATTTGTCTGATGGCCATTCTGATTTCTTTCGACGTTTGTGGAGTGTCATCTATAGGAAGGTCTGTGTGTGCTGATTTGATAGCCAGTAGATTCAATGGAGCTGGTCTATTCAAGATTTCCTTGAAGTATTCTACCAATCTGTTCCTCTGTTCTTGAATCTCAATGATTGCTTTGCCTAGTATGTCCTTTGACCTGTTTCCCTGTTTTACTATATTTCCCTGCTAGTTTCTTCGTTGTATCGTAAAGCTGTTTCATATTTCCTTCTCTAGCGGCTTTTTCTGCAGTCGCTGCTAGTTTTTCCATGTATTCAGCTCGTGCCTTGACTTTCTTTGTTCTTGTTCGACTGTTGTTCATCGCTGTTTTCTTGTTCATCCTTTCTTAAAACTTGTCCAGGGTTTCCATAGCGATCCATTCATTATGATGCTTTTTGCGGCCCAGCACCTCCTGGCACGTTGAAATTAGTGCTTTTTTGATCTCTTTTCAATTGTTCTCCACAGTAGTTTTCTTTTCTTTGAATAGATCTTGTTAGGCTTGGAACCTATTTTTGAAAGTTATCTTATATTTGTTGAGTTTGTCAGTATGTCTGTTGGCTGTGTGTGGAGCATTTTGCTCTTCTTGACCGGAGTACAGCAGCGTCTCTCTCGTACGCAAATTTTGTTGTCCAGCTTTGGTCTAATAGATTTCGCTAATTCCGGGAATCACCAGGTTGTATCTCCTAATTTCCGTTGGTATTTGGCTTGTCCTCTCGGTCTATCACATTATCCAAGCATTCCGTGTACCTATAAAATTGTTGCTCTGGTTGTCAGAAGGAACATCGGCTTCCTGACTTCAAAAGAATCTCGACTTTCATCCTGAGGTGTCAGAATTCTTTCTTCAACTGGGAAAGCAGAGTTTAAATGGTTTAATTTGTTTAATCTGGTTGGCGTATTTTCAGCAAGATTTTATTCTACAGATGGGGTTGCCGACTCCGTGTTTAGCCGTCCTCCTTTGGCCAGGCTTGGGACCGGCAGTAACTCTAGAAGAGCTATAGGCTGAGTTGTGGTCGTATAAGCCATCTATTTATTCATGAATCTTTTTATATTAATCTGAATCGAGAACAAATCGAGTGGTGTTCCGGATGACACATCTTCACTCTTTCGCTTGCTGGCTAGTCGGGTGATAGGATAGTTTTCATCTCCCCATCCAAAACCGTTAGTTTCTATTCAAACTCATACATTTCGTTGCCTCAAGATTGAACCAGTTGGCCTATAGTATCAAGGCCTTAACCTAGACCGAGATAGTGAGGATATGAAAAAGTTATTAATGTGTATATTTATTTTAAGGGCTCAATTAAGTGGTGAAATTAACCAGATAACAGTGTTGGTGGAAACTGACTGATCAGTTAATAAACCGAATCGAGAATATAAACTAAATGGATGATGTATTTTCTATGAAAAAATACACATTTACACATATGAATAAAATATTTTGTAGATCTCTTGACAAAAATAAGTTCGTTTCTTTAGTAACAATTCTGATGTCCCATTCTTCAGCAGTATTTTTCCGAAGGTCTTTAATGAATGATATTCGTCTCACTTTGCTATTGTACATAGGGCTGAACATCATGACATGATACAGAAAGAAAACAGTCAGAAAATACATGAAAACTTCCAATTCTACACTGTATAAATATTAGTTTTAAACAGTTTTTTAAAGTTATTTTTTTGTTTAACATGATGATTTCGTATTTAGTTTACAACAATTCGGAGAACAAACACCTTTGGTTGAACTGTGATTAAAAAGAATAAAAAATGTGTCATTTGTGTTTGACTGAGTTTTTAGAAGGAATGTGAATAATGTTTCTAAGTTTGACTCATGAAAAAAGGATTCCAGTATCATAATTGTCAAATTTTAAGTACACACCGAAAATGCAATAAAATGTACTATATTATATCTGGAAAGACAGATTTTGGACATACCACAACATAACTTGAATATAATGTTACTTTATTGGTTTAAAATTCTGGAATACCCGGCTGACATCAACCAGATGTCCGATTGTGAAAATTATATATATATATATATATATATATATATATATATATATATATATATCCTTTACGAAACCATCGGCCCGAACGCTTCATATTAGTCAAACTATAGATTGATTTGCTGACTTTCCAGTGGGTACTTAACCCTATTCAAAGAAATATAATGGATAAGGATCGCTGGATTCCACAAGGTAAAGAGAATTAGAATTACTAATTCCAACTTAGCGTTCCGAATGGTTATACTTTGTGCTGGATATGAAGGCTTAATGTTTGACGTTTTATAATCTGAAATGTATAAATCACTCAAGACTGGACTAGTAAGATAAAGTGGCGTTTGAAGAGCTGGGTTTCCGGTGGGTAGTTTGTAATAAAAATCACTAACGGAATATACATCCGTTGATGTGAAACTACTTCGACTAAAAAAAACTCTTTCTATCGATAATCAAAAGCTCATCAAACAACTCAATTGAAACATTTTCGTTAAATTAACAGCTAAAAGTATTTTTAAAGGTTATTATTTATATTTCCTCGGTTGGTAAACTGCCATAAAGGTGTTGAACTTGATATTCGTTCCAATAACTTAGTCTCATAAATATCTGCACGACATTATGCTCACTTGTTAAGGTATTTTTCACCATAAACTTGAACAGAAAACTCAGGAATTATAAACATGTTTTACATCTGAATCTCACATCAATTGAAATACACAGTAATTTTGGTCTTGAAAACTATCTTCAGTAAATGAATGTGTGAAACAGGTGTTTCTTATTAAATTATCAAGGACCTGAATAGCGGTGATATAGTCAGATAACTTATAATGTTTAAGGAACAACAGTTACTCGAATGTTATTTAGAATATATATTATTAAGATGCATTGTTAGAATAGCTCACCAAAATTAAAGTTTATTATATTATGTAGGATCACAGCCCAGTATATACTTTTTTCTCCCATGGAGAATGATGGCCAGAGGCTTATGCTCCTCTACGAGGGGTGACAGGCATAAGTATGTAAATAAGTACATGAGGCTAATATTGGTTAAATCTGGAATTACCTCGTGTCTTCTTAATCAGTTTCACTGTCCACCATTGTCTTCAGTGAGGTACTATCGCACAACTGACCTGGTCGCACTCCACTAGTTACGGATTCTTTAGTGGTTTGGTTGAAGTTGGACATTAACACCGTTGGATACCGGCTCATTGGTCTGGAGGTTAGGCGTCCGCGCGCGAGACCGATGAGTCCAGGGTTCGAATCCATCACGAAGTCTTATACTAGGACGAATCGGTTGTCCGATGCTTCCAGGTTTTCCATGGCAGTCTAGCTTTAATTGACTTATGCATTCAACTATTAAATAAATTTTATTTGAATAACAGTGTTTTTTCTTCCTAGTATTATAAGAACAGATGGATAGTGGCTAGCAGTGGAATCCAGGACGCGCATCTCATCCTACTTGGGACTCGTCAGCTGGATGTACCTACATCCCAGAATTGATGTTCACCCCGGTACCGTTCACTTCAAACGCCATTGCGTTCTCCACTTAGCTACTGGGTCCTGATAGCCACCAGCTTGTGCAATGGGGTGAAGTTTAAACTCACTTGGTGTTGTTTTACTTATATCTTCCCATTTTTATTTAGGACTGCGATTGATCAGTTTCATGTTGGCATATGTGCATCCTGTGCGGATTGCCTAGATATAACCTTGAGTCACAAGCTACCTAATATTAATTATCAGTTATAAAAGTCATTGTTACATTTTCACCCTTCTATAATTATTTCTAATTAGATTGTAATATTCAACAACTGCGTTGTAATTATTTTCAGATTTTTAATGTTTTACATTTCTACTTCAAGAAAGTAGTGTCTTTTTTAGGTTATTCATAGTTTAGTTGTCATGACAACAATACCTCACTCACAGTTTCGACTAGTTGAACAACATAGAAAAGAGTCCAAGTATACCATTAGACTAAATGATACTGTCATATTTAACTGACAGTCTATTATAATATTTTATCATCTTTTGTTTTAAATATAAATTGTTTATGAGATGGTGAAGATTTGTAGCTCAGCACAAACTGTTTGTGCTGATGATGTCGTTCAGAAGAACGATGAAAGGCCCACAATCAAACCATCCAGCTCAGAGAACAAAACTCCGCCAATATAAATTGCTTAATTTTATAAAAACAGTTTTTTTTATTTTTTAAAATTTTTATTCAGAAAAACAATAACAATATGAAAATGATTATTGTATGATACTTAAGTTTAGTTTATTTAAATGTTTCAAATTAAAGATTGTGATTTATAAGGTAAACGTTTATAGACTCATATGCGGTAACACCATAAAAGTACATCAAAAGTAGAGAGAAAGAAAAAGATAACATACAATTTTTTCTATTAGGAAACTCAGTTACAAGAAGAAGAAAAACAAAATGATCAATTCTGTAGTTTTCAATCATCTGAAATTAAAATACAATAGGATATTGAAAAAGGTTTATTGTCATCTGGTTACTTAAATGAAATTCATATTGTTCTATATGATAGTTGGATATCAAATAAATAATATTTGCTTATGTAATTGATCAGTTATTAGAGAAGTGAGAACGAATGAGATATGGTGTAAGTTTTCTTATTCGTATTAGCATATTGACAGGAGATAAATTTTACAATGATAACCAAATCGACTCATATTCAAGCTATGATAGTTATAATCCTAAACTAAGACAAGATTTTAGTTTTATTGAAAGCTTACACTCATCAAAAAAATAAGGTTAATTATATTACTTCTCTGTAATAATTACGTGCATGTGTAATAAAGAGAGGAAGGATGGAATCTTTATTGACTTAATGGTTGAATGTAAGTAATGGCAATATATCATAATGAGAATTGGAAGATAATGCGACGAGATTTTAATTTATGAACGAACTAATCAAATGTAAGATAACAGGTCTCGGATTTTGGCGCGAAATTCACTCATCCATTTGTCTAAGTAGAGTCTTGGCATTGTAACTGATGTCAGTTCGTGATGAAAACTCTAAATCTAATTTCTAACCGTAATCATAATTCGAATTCCTCACACAGGTTTATAATACACACTTGGTTTTAGTTATTAAATGGACACTCAAAAGGTCAGTCTAACGTCATTCAAAGATCATCCATAAATTATAGTCTCACCGATAACACGTTTTATTATTCTAGGCAACTGAAATTATTTTAAAACAACTAACTACTTTGACTTTAATTGTTAAAATTGCAGCTTCATTTAATGTATTTTGATCTTGTAGAACATTTGTCTTTGAAGAAACAAAATACGATCGTTTAAAAACATTAACTTATAGACATTAAATGTTCTGCGTATAGCACTGATATACCAAACAATATGTGTGAAACTTCATTCCATTCTAAGATAAAAGTGTACTGTACTTAAAGGGACCTACTTGTTTATTTCATTATTTTGAATTTATCTTGATATTATTATGCTTTATTACGTTATTTTTTTAAGAGGAAAAAAACAAACTTACATGTAACACCCACTTAATGGAAGATGAGTTTGTAAAGTTTTAGGAAAGAGCAAAGTGTCTGAAATAAAATTTTATTGATTTAACACATAAATTTCCCTGACTGAAATAAAAGATAAAATTTAACTAATGACAAATCGACAAATCAGAATATGATCCCTGGAGAAGTAATGTGTATACACTACTGAAGATTCTTATGCTGTAGGGAATGAGAACACAAGTAGAGGCAATTCAATGTACCTGAACATAAAATTACAGAATCTCTTAGTAAAATCTGAGCACTTTACAGTAAATACTTCATTTGTAAAATATCAGTCAATTGTCTCAGACTTCATTGTTCCTTCGTTGCCACACTAATCATTCTCTGTTCTCTTTCTCTTTTCTTCGATCTTTTTAACTTTCTGCCACCACTCATTCCACTTCCGATTGATGATACTTACTACTTATATCTATTGACATCAGTAGCACACACCACAACCAGGTCTGTTGTGAGACAGTAACTCACTGAAGACAATGGTGTACGGTGGCGCAACTTCGTGGATTGGTTGAAGTTAGACATTAACACCATTGCATACGGCTCAGTGGTCTAATGGTTGGGTGCTCGGGCGCGAAGCGAGTAGGTCCTGGGTTCGAGTCCCGCTGGGTGCGGAATCGTGGATGCGCACTGCTGAGGAGTCCCATACTGGGATGAAACGACCGTCCAGTGCTTTCAGGTTCTCCATGATGGCCTAGCTTCAATCGACTCATGATTTGATTCTGTGAAATTTCTAAAATCTCCACAAATCCGTTCTGATAATAATATGTGTTTGTATGAAATAAACAGGAATTATTTATTGGCTTAATAATTACGTGTATTTATTCGTATACTGTTGCCCAATGAATCCCTAATATATTACTGATAGGATAAGTGAAATTTTCTATGAAACATCTGGTGAAGTTTACTATTATTTTTCAAATGTTTTATGTTCTATTCAATGTAAATTAAATTACTAGAAGTCAATATTAAATTAACCAACTATTATGCAAATCATATTGATAACTGAAATGATAAACTTTTTACAATATAGTCTGCTTTTAATTGTATAAAAGTTTATACTATTTGCTAATAATTGTTTCTACTCGCTTTTTTTTGAGGATGATAGTTGTGTATGATGGTTTTCTAGCACATGGAAAAACGTTTTTCTGAAATAACTGACGAATTCTAGCGCATGTATGTACATAACACAACACCGGTTACATTTTGGGTTTGAGATGGGGTTACTTATGGAATTCATCCAAATCATCATTAAATTACGTTCAATTTATTTCATATGAAAAATTTCTAACTATGCAGTTACGTGGAACATTTCAGTTTTACCCAACGTTCAGTAAAATATATGGGGGTTTGTGTCTTACAGTTGTTGATATTAGGAACTTATATATATCATTTTTTCTGAAATGTATGAATTTTATGTATACCATCATGATATTACCCATAATTACACAGTTTTAATATATTTGGTTTTAGTTAGTAGTAGAATGTGTGTTTCGTCTTATTCGTGATTCGAACCCAATAACTGTTAATTCAAATACCAATGCGCTATCCACCAAACTACATAATTCAGCTAGCCACTAACATGTTTGACCATTATGAATTATATGTAAGAATTCAGATTTTCCTGCTGTTGATATTAAGAACTGTGACCGACCAGCCTTTTGATGAAAAATATAAAGTGAGATTTATTATTAAATGCAAAATTTATCAATATAAGTAAGTATTTCATTAAACCATGAATACCACGTTATCATTATCTTATATTTGTCCTTGGTTCATAAGAATTGTTATTAATTATATTGAGAAGTGCGATTTCTCTAAGATACTCATTTGCGTATACGTTACAATGAATCTTTGAAATCTATTATTAAGTCAAATTTACGTACTTATAATTCATTGAATAAATTACTGATAACTGTATACAAGAAATGTACACTGAACTCTCCTTCTGTAATTGTACCTCTATTATTTCCATACACAAATAAAAATTAAATCTAACATTATTCTCATTAGAAACATCAGATATAGTTTGTCAGTAAACTCGATGATGATATTGGTTTAAAACAGGATTACTTACATAACATGATTGATCTGCTCTATGATGTTGAAAATACGTAATCGCATAATCTATATATTCTTGAAGAACTTTATTACACTAAAATTACATTTAATATTTAAAAAAATGTTTAAAAATGATTAGGTTACATTTAGCTTTAAGAAAAAATATATATTAAAGATTCCTGTACTAAAAATTGGGACAACACATATATAGGTGAACCACATTGTTTTCAATTGGATCATTATGAGGCTTTACTCTAGAACAAATGAATTTTTATATAAAAATTTTAAAATATTTGAATTCATGAGTCACTGTAAGCTAGGTCACCACTAAAAACATGGAAATACTGGACGGTCGTTTTGTCTAAATATGGAACTCCTCATAAATTTAACTATTAAAATTACTACATTCTCCATAAACTCTCATTCTGTTAATAATTTAAAATAATCTAGTGAATTTATGAGTAAATGATCATAATGGAATAGATTGTATAACTGCATATAATGTGTAAAAATACAGCTTGATAATAAGTAGACAAGCGTACTAGCTATAATCAGAACAATGAAATAGTTGTAATCGGTAGTTCAACATAGGAAGTAGGTCAAATATGGATAAATAGACTTTAGATCAGTAATCACAAACACATCATTAAAATTACGTAATAAGTGTGCAAATGATTAGAGATTGCAGAATATATACGGAAAAACGTGAAAAATAACAGATAAACAAACACAGGATGTAAAAACTTAATATAATCGTTCATTACGTCATATCTAGCCAGGTACAGGGGTGCCACGAATTTTTTTTGAACACATAAACTAGATCGTGGGAAAGATTTGTAGCTCAGGTGGATGACTTTGGTGAAATTTCCTTCTCTAAGCTAGATTATTTGTTCATGGACCTTCTTTGTTCTCCGAACGACATCATCAACACAAACTTCAGATAGAAGGGAAGTGTTCAGATTTCTTCACATATGACACACAGCTTGTCCTGTTGACCCCCATCTAGGTTGATTATTGTTGACTTTTAACTGTCCCTGTCTACTTCATTTTTGACTATATCTCCCTTCGATTTGATTGTTGGTCCTATATTTGTTCATGATTTTTCTGATTGATTGATAGATGGGATCGATTTTGATGTGCCAAGCTTGTAAAATTTTCTGATGTTCTTAGTATTCTCTCTATCCAAGATCTAAACATTTTTCCAGTCATATTTGTGCCCACAGTTGTCCACATGCATTGATATAAGTGAAAATATGTCATAGCGTTTGACCGTTAATTGATAATCGTGATTGCGGAAACACTACTTTGGACTACACTTCATCTTCGTCTATATATATATTAGTGTAAAGCCATGAAAAAGCTAACTGGAAGGAAATAATTGTTTTATCCATTTTTATACGGAATGTCTGAATGGGAACTTTTATAAATCAGTTAGTTAAAACATAAACTTACTTTTGATTCGTCTGAAGCATAAAGTAAACATATCACTTTCAGTGAAGATTTCATTTGTTTAGTTTCTGTGTGATCAGTAAAAATACTTTGTATTCTACTATAAACAAATTTACATTCTTCACATAATATACTATCTCCTGAAAATAAAATACAAACTATTTATTTTCGATATTTTGGGGCACTTTAAGTAGTATTTAAACGAAAAACATGTAATGTAATATAAAATATGAAACTAGCCAAATCAACTTCAAAGTGTATAGTAAAATGAATTATACCATTCATTTCCATATGAACAATATAGTGTTGATAGGAATAATAAAAGGATAGACTGATATTTGAAAGATAAATTAGGGATTCACAAATATATCGGATGAACATTATTCTTATGTCCATTTCCTTATTTCTTTTCAACTTAGATTTTCAAATATTTATTTAGTGATGTAGTAGTAAGATTAAGGTAATTGAATAATCTTTATTAACTAGACAATAAATTTTTAGTGTTATTTGGTATAAAACATGAAAAACTGAAGTTTATTGCCGTCACTGGAGATTCATTTTATTTACTTTTACATAATTCAGATTCTTGTTTTTGATGATTTTTGAGAAAAAAATATAGTTTAATGATTTCTTATAGTATCCTTGTGTAGATTTGTTGAACTCTCAATGACGTATATTCGAGATATTTAAGATGTCACCATACTGATAGATTAGTGAAACAGATTTTTTAAAAATTATTCTGTCCAATGAAACAAAAATATTTGATCATTTGTATTCCGACAGTTGAGATCATGAGACAACTGAAGCTAGACCACTATGGAGAACCTGGAAGCACTGGACGGCTGTTTCGTCCTATCGTGGGACTCCTCAGCAGTACGCATCCCCGACCCCGCTCCTCGGGATTCGAACTCAGGATCTATCAATCTCGCGTCAGGCGCTTAACCAACCAGACCACTGAGCCCGCATTCAACGGTGTTAATGTCTAACTTCAACTAATCCACGAAATTGAGCGACACATCCACCATTGTCCTCAGTGAGTTACTACCTCACAACTGACGCGGTTGAACTCCACTGGTCAATGCTTCTCGCCAGAACTCCAGGATATATCTCTTGAAGCCAGTTACTATTGTATTCCATTTATTCATTTAAATTGTTTAGATAATTTACTACTTTGACTACCTATTTGATTTACATTAATTAAACAGCATTTATTTAGAGGTCCATAAATGAAAACAAATTTTCATTTTTTAAAAATAAATACTATTCTATAAGTAATAAATAAATAGTATATTTGTAATATCCCAATGAGTAAAAAAATTAGATTTTCTGACGTTTCGTGACTTAGTGTAAGCCACTTTTTCAGAGAATAAAGAACCAAATTAGAATTGATCCAAGTTTCTATTGAGAGAAGAAGGCCTCACCATACATCCTACTTGGACTATCTATCCTAGCCACCTAGTCTGATATTATTTACAATTCACACCATTAACTTACAAACTAAACACTATCCTTTCTCACCATATAGGTCACACAATTTTCATTCTTAAGAGTGCACACATACATACACACAAATTTACATACAAGTCGCTCATAAATCACCTTGACCGAAATAACAGGACATTGATTTATTCAGACCCGTTTTTTGATTGATCGCATAATATTCTTGTTGTTTCGTTGTACTATTTAAACATGGATTAATTTTAATTTGGTTATTTAATCTCTGAAGAAGTGGCTTACACTAAGTCACGAAACGTCAGAAAATCTAATTATTTTACTCATTGGGATATTACAAATATATTATTTATTTATCACAATCTACCCATTGCTCAATTTATTCGAAATTGTCAAATCAAACCTTGGTAATGATACCTACATATTCTATAAGTGGGAAAGATTATCCATTATTTAGTATCAAACTTCAGTATTTATGAAATATGTAAAGATACTATAATTTTGTATTAATTAAATAACCCAATATGAGTAATGGAGATTAAAATAAAACTTGGAATTATATCAGCCATACAATTTTTTGAATGGAGAGTGCTGGTAAGCAGCCTATACTTCTCCATGAGGGGTAACAAACGTAAGTAATACAATTGCTTTATCAACGAAATCACGTAAATAATTATGTAAATTATTTGTTATTAGCTATTCATTGAATCTAAATGGATTTATATTGTCAAAATGAATCATGTATTCGTTTGTTAATCCTCGAAATCTTATTCATGTAATTAAATGACTTTAACGAACGTTCATAACTGCAATTAAAAAAAGAACCACGTTAGATGTTTAAATAAAATTATTTCTATGTTCATTATCATCGTGAACATAACATGATATTGTTAAGTTCGTTGGTTTTAGTATTTGAAGTAACCGATTCTTCATCCATCGAGCATATGTCAACAGTTTTTTAATCAAACTATAATTATACTGAACTGTCTACGAAGTCAGTAAGTGAGGAAAAAATATCCGTATCAATTTTGTTACTATATATGTACTGGCTGCATAGTAGTAGTTTTTAAAAAATCACTATTCTCTTTAGTAACAACCAAGACATATTAGTATTTGATAAAATTATCAGGGGATTACACTGCTATCAATATTCTAACGTACAAAGTGAACAAATTAGGAATCTAACTTATCTTCCTACCTAAATTGTTTTACATATGGGGCCCGTAATTTTGTCGTCGTTTAGATCGGACGGTGTTTGTTGACGGGCTCTCCACTTTAGTAGCCTGTGGATCTGACTCCAATTAGATCGCATGAATGTTTGTTATCACCTATCCTCGTATATAATCATCAACTTTAATCGCGTTAGTCAATAACGGATTTAGATAAGTCAAATAACGAGAATGGATTTTTGAATACATATATTTTGTATATGAAGCGAATGGAATAGGGAGAAGAGAAATGGCGCAGAGTGGAGATAGAGGGTAAGCCAACTCCCATCTAACCAAGCGTTAATCAATATTTATAGTTACACAAAAGTAAGTTACATACATATGATGAGTAATGCGATTAGAAATGTACACACACTTACGCTCTCATATAAAAATAGTCAAGATGATAAGCGAATAAATAACAAGGTCAGAATGTGACTTAAGTAGAATGAATGAAATGGTTTGTCCGAAACCTAGAATAAGGTATATGGGCTTAACATAATAACCGACACTACATACACAGTGAATAATGATAATCAGACATGCTGAACATTCACTAGAATTAATATATTAATCTTAATTACTCTATAATTACGATTTCTGTAAATGTGTCTTCTGTGATAAGTCAATAATGGAAAATATTCTCATCATGTTAAACATTAGGTTAAAGTATAAACAAGGACCTATGAAAATAAATTATAATTTTAAATATTTTAATCATTCAATTAGGATTGTTTACAAGTTTCCATCTTAACTCTAGTTCGAATGTATTCCAAAAAAATAGTAAAAACGATTGAAATGACTAGTGATTTCACTAAGAATATTTCTCAGTAGACTATCAGATAAGTCGGCGAGACTATAATTTATGGACGAACCAATCAGGTTTACGACAACAGGTCTTAGATTTTGGCGCGAAATTTTCCATCTATTTGGTTAAATAGCACGTCTTGGCATTTTCGCTGGTGTCAGTTCGTGATAAAAACCTTAAATTTAATCCCTATCCCTAACCATCAACTGTAAATCACAATCCTTATCATTTATACAGGTTTAAAACCCTCATTTAGCCCTAGTCAATAGATGGACCTCTTTAAGGTCACTTTAGTGTCGCTCAAAGGTTGTCCATAAATTATGCTCTCATCGGTAAATCATTTGAATTATATTTTTCCAGGTAACTGTAGAACTATTTAGATTCAAAATAATGAATTTAGATTTTGATAACATTAAGAAATAATTAGATGAATGAATATGTCAGCGTATTAAAAGACTTCATCTTATATAATTCTACTTACCGATGTTTCGATTAGTTAAAGAATTCGTATTATTTGTACAAGCTTGTAATGCCTGTCAAAAAGAAAACAATTTTCGGTGGTACATATGTTTAAAATTTAAGTGTTAAATATATAAACACTCATGAAGACACTTAAAACATACCGAATAAACATAGAATTCGAATATGTAAAAATAGCACATATAATATTAAGCTCATTACTTAGTAGTTTAGTGAATAAGACGACAATATTTGAATACATTGAATCTAGTCTACTTGAGAACACCAACATATGAATACTAACACATCAAGTCATTAACGATCAACTAGATTAAAACGAACAATTGAAGTTAAAATATCATCAATCTGTAAATAGGGTCACGTTAAAGTCCATATGGCTGCAGAGAATGATTAATTTAAGTTTTAATGTTTATGACTGGAAAATAATACCATATGTTACAAATAATTATAAATTATGAATTCATTCAGTTTTACGGAGTTTTGTTCTTTCAGCTGATGGGTTTGCTTCAGCTCAGAGAACAAAACTCCATCAAAATCATCCATCTGAGCTACAAATCTTCTCCACCATTCAGTTTTATAAAAAAAGTCTCATCTGTTGTTTATGTTTTAACGACGGATAATGTGACCAACTACAGAAAATGATTACCATTATTTCTCAATTTATTTTTGAACGAACATGAATTTTCTGACCATACTAAAATCATACGATTCACTGGCTAAAAATTATTTCCATCGTATTTAAATTTCAAATGAGTCTTAGTTAGATCAGTATTGTACCCTGGAAGAACTATACACTTGTCTTGTCTTAACTTGGGACTCCTCAGTAAAGTGCATTCAAACTATGTTGACAACATTCATGTACTCACTAGTGATGGGCCTCACGATATAATTCCTGGAGTTCTAGTCAGCATCGATGACCAGTGGAGTTCAGCGGTGTCTGGTGTAAGACATTCATCAATCCCAAACAATTGGTGGGGTTTATGAAGTATAGTGAGTGGATTGAAGTTAATGTCAGTCCAGCTTTCTAGAGATTGATCGTTTGCGGCAAGTCCGAAGATTCAGAGTTAGATTCCCAGGTGCGAGACCATTTGATGTGCACTTCTGGGTAGTTTCTTATTAGAATGAATTGCCTGTCGAGTGCTTTCAGGTTTTTAAGTGTTGTCTAACTAAGATCTGTTTGCGATATAAATACACTGAAAATTCTATTATCTACACAAACCACCATACTGATGAAAATTACTTGTCTTCTGGCTTCATTATTAATGTTCATAGTTGTGAAAACGAGAATAATACACGATACAGTTATACAGAATCGTTTTACCACACAAAATTCTAAACAATGAACTACTGGAAAATTTTTGATGCAATGGAGAAACTAATGATATTTATTTAAAAAGGCTAAAATATATGCAAGACATTAAAAAATAATTACCTTGCAAATGTAATCAGGATTCACTGCTGTAGCCAGTATCTTCAAAGTATTATTAAGGTAATTATTCACATATTTCAGGCACTTGGATGAATTTAAAAAATAAAAAATAAATGAGTGATATATTCTTTCAGACTGAAACAACTTGAATATAGTGATTTTAGAAGCTGACTGTTTTTACTGAACTTTCACTTTTGTGGTTATTGTTAATTAGCAAATTACAATGCTTACTAAGATACTTTCGATACGTAAGAAATTAGTCCGTCGAATATACATTATAGAAATTAAGTTTCAAAAAAGTATTTCTTTGCTAAACAGTTTATTGTACTGAAAATTCTAAAATTAGAACTGATCAGATGAATGAAATTAGTTTATGACCATTTGAAAATTACCAGTCAACTTATTTCATTTTTGTATCGATTGTTTAAATGTTCCCGCTGATGTTTAGTAATGCAATTAATTAGTCGCTTCTTGGCCTATATAGATCCTCTACGGATAGCCCCGAGATTGATTTTAGTCATAAGCATTATAAACAGAGATGAACGATGGCTATCAATGAAATCCAGGACGTGCGTTTCGTCCTATTCAGACTCGTCAAATAAATATACTTACATCTCAGATTCGATGTTCACCCTGGGACTTGAAACCAGTATCGTTCGCTTCAAACTGCTTCACCTTATTCACTTACATACTGAGTTTCAAACAACCAATATGAAATGATTTCAAACTTCATCCCATTGCACAACATAGTGGTTACCTGGACTCAGTAGCTAAGTGGATAATGTGAGGGAGTTTGAAGAGAACGATACCGGGTTCGAGTCCCAGAGTGAATATCAACTCTGGGATACAGGTACATCCATCTGACGAGTCCCAAATAAGACGAAACGCACGTCTTGGATTCCACTGCTAGCCACTATCCATCACTGCTTATAATCAACTTTAACATTTTAATGGGAGTTTTATGAGTATTCATTATCATTCGATCCATCTGACTACTAATCTTAATTACTGTTTATTTATTACAAATTATGTAATTCATATAAGATTTAGATTTTCATCAGTCATTAAATATATATATATAATAAAATGGAAGAACTCTCAAACGCTATGCGCCTAATCAAATCGTTTCTCTAAATGCATATATTACCAAGATGTTAAAAAATGTCAACGAGAGAATTTACGTGGTAGAAGAGCTCCCTGACAAATTAAGAGAACAATATCTGGACTATGTTAAGATGGTTGTTAATATATATCAGTATAGAACCATGATGAAAAACTAATTGCAAAGGAAATTTCTTCGCTCGATTCGTTCCCTCTTTATTTACCAAATGTCAAAATGGGAATGTACATTTGCTTATAATCATTATATTATTTTAAGGATAAAATGTTAATAAAACATCAATAGGAATGATACATGACAAACAATTTATCTTTCAGATAAATACTCTTTGTCTTATAATAAAAAGGGATAATTGTTTCATGTTCAAATTTTTTGTTACTTACAGTGTTTCTTAGACTTTCTGATGGGATAGACTGACATAATTGTTGTGCTGCAATCATATAAATCTCTACCCAATAATTTTCTGAAAGAATGTAGTGAACTAAATTCATCCCTGCTAAGCATGTATCACATTCAGCTAAAAAATATAGTAATATCATTCAAATAGACGAGATTGTTTGGTCACTAAGATGATAACTTCAAAAATGATCTAATATTTATACTTTTAGCATTTATCAAAAGAGTTGATCGTGAATTTAATACAGATGTTCAGCACTTACTTTTTATCTATATTTTGTATACATATGACTGAGTATCAAAATTAAAAATATATCCACAACTTGTTTGATGGTAAATAGCTTAAGTTTAAGTTTTGTGTAATATTAATCCTTAAATATAACACGATAAACTAGAATATATTCTTGACCAATTTAGACTATAGAAGTAATCTGATTCCGGTTAAAATATTGGCAAAACAATTGACATTGTCATTTCATTAATTCTGATGCATGGCGGCAGTTACATTCAAATAAGTTCTAGGTTCTTTCGTAACTTATTCATTCTTCCTAGATCATGCATCTAAAGATCCAATACTTCATATTAATACGCTGAGAGATGTATACTAGAAACGAATTCAAAGAACCTTTTGATAAGACGAAAATTCCCTCATCAGTTTCTGTCAATTTATTTTTATAAAGACTAGTTCCCAGTATCTATTTAGATTTCATTTGTTCGCTTATGCTACATTATTCAAATTAGTACCTGAATATAGTTTAACCAATATGCTTATTGAGCATTTATGGGACACTGAATAAATTGGTTACTAAACCCGGAAGTAATTTATGAGTCAGATGTTTTCTTGAAAACATTATGGTAATGTATTTATTCTACAAAAAGTTTTTGAAGTGTTATATGTGTGGTAAAAAGAAATTATTGTTCATGGTTTATAGCTAAGTAGAAATGACTAAATTAGTGTATAATTGTTAATTGAGGGTTGAATGCGGATTTTTCGTTTGTCAGTCTTAGTTAAACTGTACAGTTGAATGATAAAAAACATAGTTATGAATTTAAAATAATAAAATACTTTTGAATTTAGGGAGATACTAAAAATCGTATCTATATTGGAGGAGGTTTGAAGTATAGGTGAATATTTCCATCGTTGCTTAATAATGCTGTTTACTTAAGGAAGGCGCTGACGACATTATTCAGATTGATAGTAAAAAAAATTGAAATTAAACCATCCATTTTGTCCGTATAGCGCTTTGAAAATCATATTTTGAGATAGGATGATGGTTGCAGATAGTCAACAGGAAACCCTGGACCCAGGTTTCGCGCTATTTGGCACCAGTCAGCAAGGTGTACCTGTAATCTTTAGGAAATTGACGCTCCCTGACGATTTAGATCCCGTGTCATCCAGCTTTACAGTCAGAAGTGTTACCACTGGGCTATACGGGTCGCGACTGACCTCTTGTAGAACTGATTTTAATTCACAAATGGTTGATCACTGTGTGTTGATCAGTGTCATGTGTGTCAAGTTCTTCTTAGTGTAGGTCGAATGATATCGACCAAGTTTCAATATGGCCACTACTCTAGGTGACTCGACGTTACGTGCACTTGATCAACAGCATTCAATCTGCACTAAGAAGGACTTGACACACATGACATTGATCACCATCCAGTGATCAAACAATTGTGAAAATCATATTTCCTATTTTCTTGTTGTTAAGGTTCATTAATATGATAAATTACTTCCATGTCAAATGTACTTTACATATAGTTTTTCCGTAATTGTTATAATAAAAAAAATCAACAATGAGAATGGTATTTTAAAATTAAAATTGTCAATACAAATAGGATTGAATATTTGTACGACTGATTTTCTATCCAGTTTTTTATATTGTTCATACATTTTCTTAAAATATCCTGGGAAATGATGTTGTATATACAAAAGTGGAGAATTCGTATATAAAAAATATATTGACATAACACTTGGCAATCAGATTTGAATTGTGCTTTAGAATGCGATCACCATTTGTTTTCTTAGTGGTAATGCAATAATTGTTTCAGAAGCTTCAATCCCGAATGATTATCTTCAATTAATCATTTGTAGGTCAATTATGCAAACTAATATTTTCACAGTTTTGATACATTTTTTTTAGTTTTATACTTTACAGAATCTATGATGGATATGATATTCATTTAGTGTGCTATTCTTAAAATTGTCAATTAACTACTTGTATTTTAAGTAATTACTAATGGAATGTTAATGACATAATGGAAGTGATGGAATGTAAAAATGAGCTCATTAGATTTAAAAACATTGAGATTGTCAATCAAAGTCAAAGTCTTTTACTTTCTCCTATTAAAAATAATCTGGTTTATAACTCTCAAATGGTTGATTTTCGGACATTAACTTCGATATAAGGCAAATATTATATATATATATATATATATATATATATATATATATATATATATATAAATTTAATCACCAGAAACAGGACATACCTAATGTTGAATTGTCATCAATATTTCTCTTAGCAACTAAATTCTGTGTAAAGAAATAACACAATGAGACATAAATCATTTACATTTCAACAAATAGGTGTTTTATTTATTTGAATATTTAGTAATTTCTAGAATAAAATCACGTGTGTAATGGTTTTGTTCCAACAGATACCTGAAGGCATAGTTTATATCAGATATATCATTGAAAATAAATTGTATACTGAATTATCTTGCGGTAAAAGATGAATTGTAGATGTAAAGAGTAATGTTGGTGGCGTGACATCTTTAAAATATCATCTTTTCCTACTAAATGTTAAGCTTAATAATTGATGTTAATCAATTCGTGTAGCTAGTATTCATCTTTTGTTCTAACCTACCTTAGATGTATACACTGTCTCCATCAAGAAAAGAAAGACTTGGTTATTCAGTTATTCATGCTTTCTTTGAATCAAAGAATGTGCTAGTTAATTAGTCATTGTAAGGATAAAAACTAAATGAAATAATATTACAGAAACTGTGACATATTTACAAATCTGTAATGGTAGTAAAAGCATAGTACTAAAATTTATTGTATACGATTGATTTATTCTCACTTGATAAAACCTTAATTCCTAATTCAACTTATTTATCTTATCTCTTCGCCTAGACATTTAATGTTGATATTATCGTTATTATTTTCATGCTTATTATTCCACTTTTATAATACTTGTATCATATTCAGATAGATATACTATTGTGTTAAAGTCACATTAGTCTTTCTCATTTCCTGTGATAGCCTAAACAAATTATCTAGTTATTGTTTGAATTTATTAAGCAGATCAATCAGCGATTATTTACTGTCATTTTTAAGATGTACATTTTGCTAAGGAAATATAAGTACAGGTGTATGTTTGGGTAGAAATAGTAGCTTTATAAAATGTATGTATGGTTTACCAAAAGTTCACAAACATGACGTTCCCCTTAGACCTATCCTATCAATGATCAACTCACCGTATCATAAAGTTGCACGGTGGTTAGCAGTAAAACTAGAGCCGATTCGTCGGAGATTAGCAACATATACGTTAAAAGATTCATTCCAGTTTGCTGATAGACTAAATCGTATGAATGTTGCCGATAAGTTCATGGTTTCTTTTGATGTCACATCCTTATTCACCAATATACCACTCTTTGAAACTATTGACATAATTTGTCAGAATTATGATCTCCTACCTTTACCAGCCCCAGAATTCAAAAAACTACTATTAATGTGCACAACAGACGTCCAATTCCAGTTTAATAACACCATATATCGTCAAATCGACGGCGTAGCAATGGGAAGCCCACTAGGTCCAATTCTGGCAGATATTTTTATGGGATATCTTGAAAACATGGTGCTTAATCAGGCGATTAGTGAAACGACGGAATATTCCAGATATGTTGATGACACGTTCATTGTCTGCAACAATAAACAGCATGCAATCCGCCTGCTAGAAATCTTCAATAATGCACATCCTAACATTCAATTTACTATGGAACACGAACAGAATGACATGTTCCACTTTCTTGATGTTGCTATAAAACGTAGGAGAGACGGGACAGTCCAACGTTCGCTTTATCGAAAAAGTACTTGGAATGGCCTTTACCTGAATTTCAATAGTTTTTGTCCACTCAGCTACAAGAAGGCACTAGTTAAAACACTATTTTATAGGGCAGAAAAGATTTGTACCACTGATAAGCTGGAAGAAGAATTGATGAACGTACAAAAATGCCTACGAGACAACTATTACCCACAAAAGTTTATTGAAAAATATAAAAAGCGTAAAGAAAATAATACTGAAGTAATTACTGTCAATAAAAAACCAATAACTATAAGTCTTAACTTCAAAGGTGACGATGGTGCTAACACAATCAACAGGAGACTGAATACTGCGCTAGCCAGAACCTATCCGGCGGCGAAACTTCAAATTCTTTATAAAACAACATGTTCATTAACTCAATCAAAGGTTGATAAGCATCCTTTTCATGTTACCGCCAATTGTATTTATAAATTTACATGTACCTGCCAAAGCAGCTACATTGGCCGAACAGAAAGGAGGGCATATCTCAGATTTTTTGAACATGTTCCAAAAAGTATTAGAACAAGAGAAAGAAAGACTCTGAATAGTTCAATCACCAAACATCTCCTTGATACAGGACATCAGGTAGATACCTTACAATCCTTTAGGGTGATTAGTAAGCAGCCAAACTCCAGTCTTCTGAAGTTTGCTGAAGCCGTTGCCATCAGGCGTCAAAAACCTGACCTATGTGTTCAAAAGGAGACGGTTGTTAATCTTTCCTTGCCTTGGTGACAAATATTTTTTCTCTGCACCTTAAATTTTTTTTCTTTTTTTTTGTATTTATTACATCGTTGATTTTATTTTTTCAACTATCTTTCAAATTAATAATCTTTCAACTGAACTCTACTCACTGTATTCCTATCAACGTTTATTCATTATGTAATCGATTGTTTCTACCCCTTTGAACTGTTGTCACAATTAATGCTCGAGAATATTCTTTCACATTAGGTATATATTTACAATATTCAGCCTATTAATTTCATTTACACCCATGTCATACTTTACGAATATTTCTTCAATATAAACCCTCTCATGTAAGCAATTTAAACCCATTATGTAATTATTATCTTTTTTTAAATACTATAGGTTGTAAGCAGCTGACGAGAACCTACGAAATAAAATGAATTCATGCTATTCTGCTAGAATCTTTGTTCTTGCTCTTTTCAAAATGATAAAGGGAACTATGTGTATGAAATGTAAAATCGCAGAATCTTGACTCATTATTTAAGAATAAGTTCACTTATAAAATAACGCCTGCATGAAATCGTCATGATTCAAGAGAAATAATCACTCTCAGTACCTTGATTTCATCTGGTGAAGTGTACATTTTACATTGACTATTGTAATAATTGATTACATAAAGAAAATGAGATTAGTGCTGCGATTACATAACACACAATGATTATATATATTTAAAACAATTATTCCCTTTGATAAATTTCGATAATGCAATGAGAAGATGTAGTTTAATTTTCATATATAAATGTTCTTAACAAGTATTTGTGTGATCAGATTGTTCGAAATGTATTGCTCAAATATATCACATAATTCTGATAAACTACGTCTTCTCATTGCATTATCGAGCTTATATATATAAGTGAAACATAATACTTACTATTTTGTTTGATTCAACTGAAAAAATCGCGGTTTGTACAACAAACAATAAAATGAAGACAGAATGAATCATAATGGAATCGGTTCAGTTACCAAATGTAAAACCTATTGTATGTATCAAAATTATGAAGTAAATTTAATGAATTTTTTGTTCATTTATATTCACCTTTTATTGTAGACTTCAACATTTTAAATCTCAATTATTTCAAGTGATTAGATGAATATTCAAAGAGAAGCGAAGTAGAGCAAAGTACACCTTGGAAAATTACTAGTATTGAAACTTAGAGTTTGATCTTTAATTATCATAGTTTTTTTCTCATTCACTTTGAATCAATATTAGCAAACATTTCTACGTGTATTCAATATTCAAACACATCAACAGTAAACGAAGAAGTATATATTTAAGAAATGAATAAATAATAAGCATACAGAAACATTCATTTTTATTTGAAATCGCCATTTTTGTGATTACTCGACATTTACTCTTACAATTTGTCGATTCCTACATATTACCTATTATTCCTTACTGTTCTCTATTGTTCTTTCCCGACTTTTTGAGAAAACACTTTGCTGTGTTGCTGAAGTGCTGAAGGTAGTTAGCAAGGTGTATGGTGAATCTTTTGAGATCATCATTATTATGGTTGTGGATAGACATCTAAAGTCTTGCAAACTCCTGACACGTATTATCAGATACTAACCATCGCCCCATTCATATCTTTCTCGTTGTATATCTTCTGGTAGAACAAGACGTCAATACATTAAAATCGATGCACGGAAGCAAAGGTATAAAAGTTCTATAATACCTTACCTAGCAAATATACTCTGTGAAGAACAGGTTGTTAGAGTTGAATTAGTCAATAACCTGTACTCTTAAACACATTTCTAAGTGAAAGTTGTACAGAATCAGATCTTTCTTTCACCTTTTTCTTTTTTTTTGTTTTTGTAGAAGAAACTTCTTGAAATACCTCGTGCTGAGAATTTTATATTGTACCAAAATATAATACTGAATAAAGCTGTTAATAATAATAATATTTTCTTGTCTATGGTTTAAATTTACACCAGAATTTTGATAATGAATGAATATTGTTTGAGTGATAAATGTCCTCATGGTGTTTCATAATGCTAGATATTATAAATAAGGCACTGATAATAAATGTACTGGCATCAAAATTCATTATGTTGACTTTTGAACTAAATAAATGGTTGATTGTAGATGAGTCTATTGCAGCAGAAGTTTCATAAGACGTTAATTTTGAATGGTTGCCTTTTCTAAACGTTAATCGATCGGTAGAATTGTAATGAAAAAATATTCAGTAGTAAATTATTGAAGAAGACGATGAATGAATTCTCGTAAATCAAATATACTGACATTAATGAGGAAATTAAGGATAAACAAGATTAGCAGTGAATTGCTTTTCATAATGTAACTGTTATGCTAATCACCTAACCTTGAGATAACCTAGTCGGAATCTCACTATCGATGTTTCTAAATTTAATCGATTCATAATTTTTCACGACTATCATTTATTGCTGTTAGTTGGACAAAAGAGATACGCTTGGTTTCTTGGGTTTAAGTTGTTATCTGGCTGCAATAAACTAGTGTTGTAAACTTTAGAATTTTAATGTCTAGCTAATTAAAATAAATTCTTGGTATAACTGCTTATTTCCGAAAGGAAATGCAAACAGTATGAAATTAATTCACTTGCTGTTGTTTTACTTGTATCTTCCCATTGTTATTTAGGACTGCAATTGATCAGTCTGTCGTTGGCATATGTGCATACTGTGCGTATTGCCTCGATATTACCTTAATTCACAAATGTTCTGCCCCCAAATGCCCTAGTAAGGCAGAGAGTAGGGAGAGTCAACTTTCCCTCTCAAAATGCTCTCACATAACCGCGTGCATATAACCACTACCAGGAAAGTCCCACTCACTGCCTTCTCGTAGCTGGGGTATTGTTTACGAAATTGAGAAGACAAAAAGCGAATGTTCGGCGCTTTGACCCGGTTGGTAGAAACAAGGGGCCACCTAGGGGAGTTGGAGAACCCTGATTCGAAACCAATGGTGCACGTGGGACCTAGGATCCTAAGGAAACAAATGGTGTATGAACTTATTGTTGGTCACCAGATACCATAGGACTGCAGCTAGTCAGTCAGTCAGTCAGTAACAACGAGAAACTTCGTACGTACGTACATCAGGTCGAGTTGCCATACCACATTAGCACAGAGACGCAGTTATCGATTCAAATCCCGTAGTGGTAGATGTAGTAAGAGTATAAGCAATAATCGGAAACATTAGGGTTTGAAGATGTTATTCAAGGAGTATAATACAGATAGTCTGGCGGCCTGCTTGAATATCTGGGCTACCTGTTTCTGCCATCTGATTATTTCAACAAGTTATCTGTTTTTCATTTGTTTTAATTTATAATTATGTCCATTAATCGCATAACCTATTCAGGCGCTTTTATGAAAAGCCTACGACCTTTCGCTGCACAAGTTACGAAAAAGTACTATAAAAGGCATCGTGGTGGTTGGCAATATGCGTTAAAGAGAATGAACATTAATCGTATGTCGATTCCCGAGCTACTAAATTCTAACTGCCGATCACTAATCAACAAAGTGGACTATCTGCAATTCCTGCTTAGTCAAAATACGTATCGTAATTGTGGTGTCATCACAATTCAAGAATCTTGGTTGAATGATTTACAGGATGACTGCCTTGTATCACTACACGATTTCAAAATTTATCGTCAGGATCGATCGAACAATAAAAAGAGGTGTGGTGGCGGTGTAGCTACGTTTGTAAACATAAACTGGTGTCGATCTTCGTTTGTGTGTTTTAAGTTTTCAAATGACTTTATCGACTGTCTAACTCTAAGATGTCGTCCAAAACATCTGAATAAATACAAATATGTTTATGTTACCAATATCTACGTGACTCCAGATTGCACATCATCTGCACTATCTGTTTTTGCTGATGAATTCACTGAGTTCGCTGTTACTGCCTTCAGTGATTCACTTTCAGTTGTATGTGGTGATTTCAATTCATGTGACTGTAGCTTCCTTACGTCACTAGGTCACCAAAATGTAGTGGATTTTCCTACCCGTTTGGATGCTCATCTAGACTTCGTCTTCATTAATGATGTGGGTATATATGCGACTCGTAAACGTGCTCCATTGTCTAGCTCAGATCACTGTATAATTCGTGTTCTACCTAAAGTATATGGAAAGCATGGGAAGAGTACACTCTTACATCAAACCAAGAAAGTCAAATATAGGAATTACTCAGAAGAAAATATCCGAAATCTGAAAAACATGTTTCATACGACTAACTGGGAATTATTTACAGATGACTCACTCGAAAACACTACTGATGTTATCACTTGTTACCTTAAATTCTGTTTTGATATTTGTTGTCCCACTGAAACCATTTTTGTAAGTTTTGATCGACTTACATCTTCACAACTAAAACGACTACGGAGGATGAAAGAAAGAATGTACAAGGAGAAGAACTCAAATGAAGTTCGTAAGCTAAATGGTCTGATAAACCTAGAGATTAGACGTCTCAACTGTATGTTTACTCAAAAACTCTTATCTTGCA